CTCATTCCGGATTCCTCTAGAATTTTGAGAGCATAACGAGTCTGATTCAATATTATTCCTTCTTGATGTTGCATAACCTCTATCCCAAGATAATAAGTCAACTTCCCGAGATCACTCATTTCAAAAGTAGAAGACATCTCCTCCTTAAACTTCTTGATGACATCAAGACTTGTCCCTGTAACGAATAGATCATCTACATATACTGCTATGATGAGAAGATGCTCGTTAACTTCTTTGTGATAAACTGACGGCTCCTTTGAACATTTTGTAAAGTGAAGTTCCATGAGAATGTGGTTCAGCTTGTTGTTCCAAGCTCTTGGTGCTTGCCTTAGACCATACAATGCTTTGTTTAGTCTATACACCTTGTCTTCACTTCCCTTTCTTTCAAAACCTTCTGGTTGATAAACATAAACTGTTTCCTTAAGTTCTCCATGTAGGAATGCCGTTTTAACGTCAAGATGGTGGATTTCCCACCCATGTGCTGCTGCAAGATCAATGAGGAGCCTAATAGTTTTAATTCGTGCACTGGTGCAAATACTTCTTCAAAGTCAACTCCGTATTTTTGTACATACCCCTTAGCAACAAGACGGGCTTTGTACTTATTAATACTCCCATCTGATTTCCTTTTAATCTTGAACACCCACTTTAAACCAATCGGTTTAGCTCCTACTGGCAAGTCAACAAGTTCCCAAGTTTTGAACCTTTCAATAGAACTGAGCTCATCCTCACAAGCACCTGTCCATTCTTTAAATTTTTTTGCTTCATGAAAGTTTTTCGGTTCATTGTTTAAGCACATAGCAATGTTTCTCCTTCCTCTTCCGCAAGCAAAACATAGTCTTGAAGATATTTAGGTTTATTGCTATGTCTTTGTGTTCTCCTTAAAACAGAAACCTGAGAATCACTTGTTTCTACACCCTCATGCTCTGTTTCTGCAACCTCATGCTATGTTTCATGACCCTGATCGTCTTCAGATTCATCAGAAGCTTCAATATCTTCTAAATTTTGTCTTGTTTCATCATTGTGTTCTGTTTCACCTTCCCTTTCTGTTTCTTGAAGTCCATGATTTCCGAAAACCTTAAATGTGATCTTAAAACTTCCATCACTGTCTTGCTCTATGTTATCATGTTTCCAGTTCCATCCCTTTGTCTCATCAAACACAACCTCGCGACTGACTACCACTTTTCTTGCTTGGGGATCAAGTAGACGGTAAGCTTTGGATCTAGGTTCTGTTCCTAAGTGAATGAGTATCTGTGACCTGTCATCTAGCTTCTTCAAGTGTTGTTTATCTACTTTCGCATACGCAGTGCATCCAAAAACCCGAATATGACTGATTGCTGGCTTCTTGTCTCGAAAACATTCGTATGGAGTTTTGTCCTTTAAAGCTCGTGTTGTAACTCTGTTCAAAAGGTAAGTGGAGTGTCTTATAGCTTCTCCCCATAGGTAATTAGGCATGTGCATATGTTTTAAAATGCTTCTTGCCATCTCCATTAAAGTTATATTGCGTCTCTCAACGACTCCATTTTGATGCGGAGTATACGGAGCAGTAAGGTGTCTTTTAACTCCAGACTCTTCACAGAAAACATTGAATTCATGAGAGACAAATTCTCCTCCTCTGTCTGTTCTAAAAGTTTGAACTCTTGCTCCAGATTCTTTTTCAACAAGAATCTTGAAGTTTTTGAACTTTTGGAAGGCATCTCCTTTCTCCTTGAGTAAGACTGTCCACATGTATCGAGAGTAATCATCAATAAGCACAAAAATGTACCTTTTTCCAGCACTAGTACTTGATGTTATTGGCCGCAAAGATCTCCATGTATGAGTTCAAGCTTCTCAGTTGCTCTTTAAGTGGTTGCTTGTGGAAACACTGCTCTGGTTTGCTTTCTAAGCAAACATGAACCACAAATTTCTTTTTCAAGAACAAAACTTGAAGCTTCTTGGACCAAACTCTTGTCTATCATGTTCTTTATAGTCTCAAGACTCACATGACCCATTCTTGCATGCCATAAACTTGACTCACTCATAGTTGTTAGGTATAGACACGTATTCTCCTTTAAACCCATGTGAACCTTGTATAAACGATTCTTGGACCTCTCTGCTTTTACCAGCAACTTCCCATCACGGTCATGCATTGTCAAGTAGCCATCCTTTAGTCTTATGTTACAGCCAGATTCTGTAGCCTGTCATAGACTTATAATATTGCTCCTCAAATCAGGTATGAAATACACATCAGTCATCACTCTTGGTTTTCCTTTTAGGTCTATGAAAGCAATCGTCCCCTTTCCTTTAATATCAATGCGTGAGTCATCTCCAAGTCTTACTTTCCCGGTAATAGATTCATCAAGTGTATCAAAATATCTCCTATCGCCAGTCATGTGGTTGCTAGCTCCATTAACAAGGTACCATCAATGTTTGTCTCAAACTTGCTAGGTACACAACTTTTCTCATTTCGATAAACAACTTCCTGCATCATGAGCTCATCCGCAACTTGTGTATCCTTTTGTTCATTCTCTTGTGCTTCTTGCAACTTAAGTAATCGGTCAGGACAATTTGAGGCATAGTGACCGATCTTATCACATCTATAACATGTTATTTGTGATGAATCTCGACCACCATACCGTCCTCGTCCTCTTCCTCTGTAAAAGTTTCTACCTCCACGTCATTTGCCCCTATATATGTTGTTGTAATCTCGATTTGAGTAACTGTTTTGAGAATCCGTATTGGCATACATAAGTTTACTTTGGTCCTCATGCATGTGTTTCTTCTTCTTCGGTGATGCCTGACTATATCTTCAAAAGTTGTAGTATTAAGATCTAATACTTGTTCTAAAGCAGCTACAGTATGGATATATCGTTTCCGAGGAATACTTTTCAAAAGCTTCTTAACTAGTCTTGATTCTTCAATGTTTACACCTAGGGCAGATGATTTTGATGATATCTCAGACAACTTTCCCGCAAAATCGTCAATCTTTTCGGATTCTTTCATCTTGAGGCGGTCGAATTCAGCCATAAGAGTTTGTAACCTAGCATCCTTGACCCTGTCTGCACCCACATGTCTTGCTTGAATCGAATCCCATACCTTCTTAGCTGTGTCAAGTTCTCCTATTTGTAGTACTAAGGCTTCAAGAATCGATTCAAAAAGCAAAGCAGTGGCTACATCATTCTTCTCCACATCAGTCGGGTCTGTCGTTGCTTCTATAACGTCCCAAGCTTTATGAACTTTCAGTGCTGACTTCATTCTTATGGCCCATACCGTGTAGTTAGTTGCGTTTAGCATCGGATATTGAATTGAGGAAGATCCTCCTCCTTCTTTACCTTTTCCCGTCGCGGGAATGATATCTCCCATAGCTTCTTCTCGATCTAACAAAGCTCTGATACCAAATCTAGTTTGTAAAAGAAATTAAGAACACAACAACAAAAGAATAACTCTCTTTTATTACTTAGGAAAATCTCTCAAAACCTTAGCCTCTCTCAATTACTTCTCAAACCCTAAAACCGCATAAGTCATATCACAAACTCGATATGTCCTTATATAACAAACACTTTGACCTAATCATAACTCGAATAGGAAATACAAAGATCCTTCTAGATAACTCCTAGAAGATTTAACATTTATCTCTTCAAACAAACCAATGACTTGCGGTTTAAGTAATCTTCCGGTTAAGCTTCTTTCAAGCTTAAACCAACATTGTATTCTGCTGATAATGTTTAATACTCATTTGGTTTTTCTTGGTATAAGCCTTAGTCTTTGTTTTTGTTTATGGGATTCAATCCTTGGAAGTGTAATATTTAATGAATTTGGTAGGCTCTATTTCGATGGTATCTTGTATGATGAGTTTGTACAAACCATACTCTTTATCTATTTTGGATAAAGAACTTGGTTCCTAGTTCTTCTTGTATGTTGGATCCTCGATCTCGATTTCTCGAGGTAGTTCTTTAGTTTAGGTTTTGTTCGTAAGGTTGGTTGGTCATTCAGATGGTATTCGATATGCTACAACGGTATTGACTTCCTCTTGTCTGACGATCTTTTGGGATTTGAATTGAGTTCAAGGGTAATGGAGTTGTTTCGATCTTCAATTATTATCTTGCGATGAGACATCAATTTTATGTATGTAGATGGTTAATGCTGGTTTGCGAGTGTCCACATGTTAGAACTGTTGGTCTTCTTTGAGTTTGTAAGACCCCGATTTCAAAATATATGGTGGTACACGAGGAGATATTAAAAGAATTAATTAGGCTAACTATATCACCAAAGTGCACTTACATTTTTGCTCAAACACCCTTATAGAATCTTCTTTAGACTCTTGTCTTTTGGGGCAGCTTTGGCGTCTCCTTACTCTTTGGAATGGTTGTGGCCTGTGGGAGTGTTCTGGTTCAAAGTTTTAGGTGTAGTGCGTAGGTTCCTTTTGTCGTTTGCCTTTCTTGTTGTCTTTCTATGGTTATATCCTTTTGTTTATCTTCCTGAGTTTGGATTGTTGTCTATCTCCAAAGATTCTATAGATTCGTCGGCTTTCTCGTTTGAAGCATGTTAGTTTTTATGGATATTTGTGTAATTGGCATTTTGAAAATTTAATATAGAACTCCAGTTGACAAAAGGAAAAAAAAAAAAAAAAAATTAAGTAGTCATTCCAGCAAGATTACCTACGAATTGAAAACTCAATCATGTAGCCCTCTACTTTCCTTATAACACAATATATTTAGAAAAAAATCGTGGACTGCACTATATACACTTATATAAGAATATATATTAAACATTGGTGTTCCAAATAAACATGTTTTTGCGCAAACTTACACTTTTATAGTTTATGCACGTGTTCATGCATTTAATAGAAACTAATTAGATAGAATGAAGTGAAATTAAGTATATGTTCATTCAACTTAATTCTAGTACCAAAGAAACAATAAAAAAACTTACTAAACTGAAATCATATAAAAAAAAGAAGGAAAAAAAGAAATATTATTCTGAAAAGAGTCTTAATTAACTTAAAACAGTATATGATATCACAATGATTATTCAAATATTTATTATTGTTTTTGGTTTGCTAAGAAAACCAATACCAAGTCCTCGTTATTCCGAGGCTCTTATTCATATATCAAACAAACCAAGATATCAAAAGTTCCAACCTTAGATGTCGATAAATTAAACTTGAAAACATCAACAGATGCACCAACCGTTGTGCAAAATAACTTGTACTCGATTTGAAGTGCTTTGCAACATCGCAGCTCCAAAATGTGCCCACTGCCTTTCAGTTTCTTTCAACCAAGTCGGCATGTAGAGTTCAACTCTTTCCAATGCATACCCATGCTCCGGCCGAACCAAATAGTTCAACAAATAAAACTCGTTCGAGCTATTACAAAAACCCCTAACCACCAGGATCTTGAGAGTCCTTCTCAAACACCTCGATGAAATGTTTTCCAGCCAAAGTGTTTGTGAACATATGCCACCGTACGAAGGCATCTGCGAAATATTAACATGAGTTTTAGTAAAACTAATAATAAAAAGTTATTTATATAGAGTAATGTGACTATCATATGTATTCAATTAATATATTGTAATCTTACAGGGAAAGGTCTTGGACAAAGAAGCTTCAAAGTGAGTGTCTCTAAGTTCGGGCAGTGATCGAGAAGGAGCCTAATTCCAGTAATCTCCTTCGGATGTAGAAGCGTTTCTAGCACCAGATGGTGTGTTTCCACATCACGAAGCATATCAACCGGATCGTTACATTCTGGAATCACCTATCATAAGAAAAATACAACACACGCATACACATGGTAAGGTCAATTTTATTGTCTAACAATTCAACGTAATAAGTTTAGGGTTATATATCTACTCTACTTTAACAAAAAAGACAAATCAGATTTATGTGTTCAACATATTTATAATCCTCTAGGCCATAATTATAACTCACCATATTACGTTAATATGGTGTTCTAAAAACTAATATAAAAATAGAGTAAAATCAGTCTCGATTGCGTTTAAATACTGAAAGAAAACAAATATGTAAAAAATTGTTCATATTGCAAAGCATTTATTGTTAAAAACATACCTCAAGGAGATAATAGCATACAGTCAAAGTCCTTGAAGATCGAAGATCATTAAGAAGATGAGAAAGAATATCTCCAGCTTCTTTAGTTGAGTAGGTTGGTTCGTCGCTCCCAAAATCTAAGTACACCTCTTTCAGTAATCTCATATTCACTTTTTGAAAATCGAAAACGATAACATTTCCTGAGTACTTGAAGATGTCTATGTTAGGTAGGTTTAACAAACAAGACATGCTAGGAAAAATGCAGTTCTTGATGATCAGCTCTCTAATTTGCCCAGCTAACATAAAAATCTCATCAAGGTAACAAGAGATGATACTCAGACTCTCAAGCAAAGGGCACCTTGATGGCAGAGATTCGATCTTTTCGAGTCTGAACCAACCAATAGAGAGCTTTCTTAGTCCTAAGTTTGCGACTCTCGAGGGGTCAAACCAGCATGCATAAATCGTCAATGATTCTAGGGTTTGTAGACCATAAATGACTGTGGGCAATTCAATAACAAAGTCATCATATCTCAATCTGTCCCATGTGTTTCTCCAATAAGGGCTTGAGAAATCAAGAATTAGCTTCTTAACTTGTCTGGAGATGGAAAACTCAATCAAATACTTGATCTCTGCCTCGAAGCCAACTGGATAACCGAGAAAAATTTCAAAACTTTCGATAACCTTTACAGGAACTCTAGAGACCCAGTTGAGCATATAGCAAACAAATGACACCCTTTTGGAGAAAAAGTTGGAGACAGAGTGGTCCACATACTCGGATTCCTTAAAGGAAATGTTCCCTGTTTCATAACAGAGGTTCCTCCAGCGCTTGGAGAGAACGCTCGTCTTTATGTTATCCTTGAAGGACAAGAAAGAGAGGATCATAACCAGAACTACATCCGGTAAACTTGATATTCTGTCTCGTTGGTTGATTGAATCCATTCTCCTTGAAATCTCACCGCTTGGAAAAAACTGCAATAGAGGAAGAAAACAATTAGCAATGGACTTCAACAAGTGAAATCCTGCAATGAATAAAATGCAAATGGACAATGAAATATTCTATTTTGTATCTACTATTTCTTAAAAAGGTATATGAAGCCATTGCATAACCAGAAGCAACAAAGGTGCTCAAAACATCTTTAAATAAATTGGCCTATGATAGTGGAAAACAAAGCATGCATAAAAATCTTTAACTTTATAGACTTTGTTCTCACTTATCTCCACCGTTAGTAAAAACTTTCTATGTTTTACTTAAATTATCTCAATACAGGTTTAGTTCAATTATGGGTTTTCCAATATATTGAGGCCTAAGCTATAGTTTTGTTTTCATGATTAGAAGACAATGCATTTTGGTCTAGATTTTGATATATGCATGACTTATATTGTCTTCCTCTAGGCGACCACGTCGACTGTGACTCTATGAGAAAATTTTTACCAAGGTCTACGTTGTTTCGGTCTCTTTCCTAGACTTGTCGTCGAAGAAAAAAAATTCAAAAGATGTTTTTTCCTTTTGATCTTTCTCTTTTGTGGTCATTTCATTGATTTTAATGGTAACCGTTTTATCTTTCATTGTCGAATGTTATTTTTCCCAAATGACCAAAGAAAGTTTTATTTACTAATGCGGATATAAAATTAGAAACTTTTATGGTATTACAAGTTTTTTATTTCTCCAAGAAATTGCCAAAACAATTTCCCGATTTAATTATACTATAAATTACAATACTTGGCGATGAATAACTGAGAAGCAGTGTTTCAGGCCACGCAAAATATATCTGAAGTGGCTGCATGACTATTAATCAGTTGGCTCGACCGAAAAAAAAACTATTTGGTATAGTCCGATGCCATTGATTTGATATTTACAATGCTTGTGGGATATTGCGCATTGTTTGGCTCAATTTCGATTCCACTGGAAATAAGGGACGAAAACTTCTTCACAAGCAATAGCATAGTAATTGTAATAAATGGGTGAGAACAGGCCCGTCTCAATTATTAGCTAGAACCAATGCTGTGGTGAAATCAAACCGTTAAATAAAAAGTAATATTTTTAAGGATCCGTTTGATGTTGGAGTTACACAATACAAACAAGAAGAAGCAAAAAAAGGCAATTATATGTGTAAGTTTAAGTTAAAGTTAAAGACTATGAATGGTTGTGAGTTTTTAAATATTTTTTAGATTATAGATTTTGGTTTTTGGATTTTAGATATTGGTTTTTGGTTTTTGATTGTTTAGATTGTTTATGAAAATTGTTAAAGTCTTCTGAAAACTAGATTCCCTATTTTTTAGGAAAACCATTTTAACAAATCTTGAATGGGTGAAAAATGAGTTTTTCAAAAACAAAAACCATAAAGTATTACAAAAAAACTAGTAAACCTTACTAATTCGAATTTTCGTAAATTTATTTGGGCCAAAAAAAGATAAAATTTTTAACTTGGGCTGGACATGGTGCAAATGCATTTCTTGCACTGGTCCAGCGCTGGGCCTGGGTGAAAACATTGGTAAGTTTCTTTCTAATAATAGTATTAATATGATATTTGGTATAATTAGGCTATTAAAATTGTAATTCAGTTACAAATTGCAAAAGATCTACTCCATCTATTTCTTACGAATCTTGATTATACTAAAAAAGGGTTTCAATTATCAGAAAATTTAGGTTTTTCGAGATATCATTCCATATAGTTGGCTCTGGAAGGAGACATATTTATTTGCAGGTTTGGGATGGTTTTGCTATCAAGATGATGTAGTATGATCCATTATGGGAGCTCTGAAATATATGAAGAAGCCTCTCTCCACTACATTCCAAATTAGAAGCACTCATTCGGACTATGTTTACTGTATGATAGAGCATCATCCAAAGACGAGCGCAACATTTTCAATAGACTACTTTGATTTGGTGATTGACCTTGAGAGAAGTTTGGGAGGAGTAAGGAATTGTTTTCTTTGTTTACTATTTCGTTTATTCCACACAATTTAAATATCAAAGCAGGCATGTTAGCACATAGTGCTTGCCTTTACCCGCACGATATGAGCTATGTTAACTTCTTCCTGTTTGGATATCCAAACCGTTTAAATTATACAATGTTGAAAAAAAAAAGGTTATTCAAGCTTTTTAGAAATGGAGAAGAGGAGTATCAGATTTTGGAAAATGCCTTTTGAAAGTTACATATTATGTAAGATGTTTACCAAGTAGTTGCATGAACTATTAACCAGTTTGCTAGAGTAGCAAGTAAATTATAGCAGATTTCGACGGAACTGATTAAATATTTACAATTTATGTGTGGTATTATGTACGGTTCGACTGAATTTATCTTTCACTCGAGTCACTAATGGCACTTATTCCATTAAATAGATGAAAGCAGCAAAGATATGAATAGAGGATAGTAAAATGAAAACCTGAAACCTATCGTATTTTTGGAAAATCTATGGCATCCTTTTTTAGTATCTTCTGGGACCATGATGGTTCAAATTGCTGGAATCTTAGGGAAAGTTATTGAAATCGATTTTTTTTACGAACACACTGTACTATTTATTAGAGAAAAATGAACCAATAAGGAATAGAAGTGTCTATACAAGAAAAAAAAAATTCTTGTAAAAGTGTCAGTGAGATGAAACTCCAGTGATGTTTGTCAGTGAGATGAAACTCCATAACGGATTGTGGAAGTGTATTGAGATTGCAATCCAAAAAAAAAAGCTCGATAATTTTCTATTTCTAGCAAGATTTTTATATTCTTATTATTCCATAAGAACCATAAAAGCCACATGAAAATAACTAGAGAGATCTGTTGCTCCTTATGGTGAGATGGTACTCTCCAAAATAAATAAATAAATCAGATTTGTAGGCACCAAACTTGTTAAACATCGAAGTTTTAAAGGAATTGTTTTGAACTTCCAAGTTTGCAAGGAGGATGGATACATAAAACGGGCATGATTAATGCTTTCTTCTGATGCCCCAGACCTATGACAGGTGATATCATATTTTATTTCACGTCGTGGTAGACTTGAAGTAACTGCGAAGGAACCCGATGCAAGTTACCAAAGAAAGTGTTTGAGTTTTTAAAAAGCTCTACTTTTCCATGTGTAAGCTTTTACTGCTCTACAGCTCAGGCTCCAACCTACCTCCTCAAACATAGTTTCAATTAACCAATAGCTTGACTTGACCGTATATCTCTCACATTTTCTATGATGCCAAATCTGCCTATCTAGTTTGTAAGTTTGAATTATCGCCATGCCCAAAGTAAATGGAATATCTTCTAAAACCACAAACTCTTGAAGGAAACATCATTGCCAATATTTTGTTGGCAGATTCATTAACTTATTTACCATCAAGTTTGGGTGGAAAAAAATTACTCTGCCATTTTCTGGTAATGTATTAATATTTGGTATCTAAGGGTGATCTCTATATATATATATCGCTAAACTGATTTATTCTCCTTCTTACACGAGTTTTTTTGTCAAAAAATATGTTTCCATCCAAATGACAGAGAGTTTGGTTTGTTTTTCTTGCAAAGTGTGAACATTCATGTAATATATATCTCACTTTGAGCACCCTTACTACTAGTGAAGTTGGGTACTGAATCCATCTACAATAATGTTTAACCAACATATCATCACTAAATTTTTTAAAATATTGAAAACCCACCCCCTTCATGTTTTGATTTACACAATTTCTTCCATGGCACTCAATGTAGGCCGCACATACTTTCGTTTACTCCACCAATAGTTTGAAATAACACTTGTTAGCTTAGCTGTAAGCTCTTAAAGAACTTTAAAGCATAACAGAATATATATAGAAAGAGTTAAATCAACTGATATAATCGGTATTTCATTCCCTCTTTCTACAAGTATTTTGCTTACAAGCAATTGATGTGGTCAATAAAAGTCTTTCTTTGACATAGTTAAATATTCATCCCTCCTTCGAATATTTTTATTTAGCTGGTCTTTGTTTGGTATAATATTTTCTTACCAAACATAACCGATAATAAATTGAAGTTGAGTTTTTGACCTAAAACTATTCCATATTTCCCAATAATAACGTAGAAACCAATATGTCATTTAGGTTTCCCGTCCAACAACAACTGGTAAGAAACTTAACTAATACTCTACATGATCGAAGAATTCCACACATAATTATAGCCTAAGCGAATCAGAAAAACCTCTAACAAGGCCCATTCTATCTTGTCATATGTTTACTCATATCAATCTTAATATCCAAAAAATCTTCTCCATACGTAAATCATGGAACATCTCTTGAGCTATCAAGTAATTCATTGTAATAAGTTTGCATGAAAAGTATGTCGAATGAGATTCCTAAAAACTTTTGATATAACTTTATAGTAATTCAAATATATATACGATATTTCATATATGTTTCGATAACCTCAAAATATGTAAAATTATTTGGATCAGCAATCATCATTGGTGAACATCAACAGAATACGTCCTATAGGAATTAATACGTATAATATACACTTATGAACATCAATAGAATATGTATTTCCCAATTTTTTTAAGAACCTAATTTAAAAATAAGATTCTAAGATTTTCACAATTTTGCAAACAAATTTTTTGTCTTATCGAAATATTCAAGATGCTTTTCAAAATTTGCCTATTAAATTTATTTTTGGCTAAAAATGATCATTTATACATATTGGTGAAAGTAATCAAATTTTTATCAGTATATAAAGATTCTTAACTGATAAAAAGTTGAATTTATTTTGATCACCAGTCATCATTTGGTTAGTTGTGGAAGTGACATACATATGTAAAAGAATCTCTAGATTTTTGAGATTTGTTTTTTAATTCGTTTCCTCTAAATTTATTTATCAATTAAGGAGTGGTTTTTTTTTTATCAATATATGGTTGAAAAAAAAAATGTAAAGAATCAATATTTTTTACAATATTATTGTACATATATCAAATGTATCAAAAAAAACTAAAATTAAATTGAGTTTATTAAATTTGTGTTTGTTGCAACTGTAAAAAGAGGATTGAAAACCAAGTGGACAACATGAAAAACAAAAACAATTTCTTAATTTTCGAAAAGAACAACCAACGCACCTGAAACTTTGACCACCCACGCTTCTGAATCGTCAAGATCTCAAGAGTTTTTTTTTCTAAGAATTTTGTCGTTTGTGAAATCAGTATCAATCCTCCCTCTGATTCAATGAATAATGCTAATATCTTGATTTTTTGATGAGTCAAAGTCAGAATTAACTTTCTAAATGAATAAAATCTAAATTAAGTATTATATTTTAATCCTGTTAAAGACATTAATATGTGTTAGATTTATATCTCTTTTTCTTTGAAAATTGGACAAGAAGAAGTTGAATGAGATTTATTTCTTCTTTTGGCATATTAAATAATTGTTTTTTTTTTGTTTAATACAAATTAGCATCATCACATATCTTACTCATAAAAAAGGGTCAATTTAATCTAAATACATAGATGACTTAAAATTAAGAATATGTACATGTTTTTTTGTATAATTAGTTCTCTCTCATCAAGATATATAAGTTAGACAAAAATACCCTTTCATCTATAACAAATTATTTAGCGGTATAATAAAATAGATATCGAGGAGATAAATATTTCAGATGGATTCCGACAATAGTTACGGTCAAATTTCTGGTAACAAATCAGTTATAGTTTTAGATGGTTAATTATTGTGTTAACATTATATATAATATGTGTTTAATATGCTAAATAATTTGCTATCACGGTAAGCTTATATTTTATATGTTAAATGGATGTTTATCGATTTAAATTTGTGAATCAGTGTTTTTTCATTTATGTATATATGAGTTCAATAAAAGTGATTAGTCTTCCTCTTACATGATTAACATGATAAATCATATTATATCGCGATAAGTTTACAAGTTACGTGGTAAACTAATATTTACCGTGTTAAAACATTTATTATGTAACGCCCCGACCGCCACACATTTTTTAATGGGTCCCACGTCCTCTCTCAACCCATGGGCCCACCGTGTCCGACGGTGGATCCGCTACGTCCGGGAGGCTTTAAAGACTTGTTTACCAACCTACTATCACCACATGATCTTTCCTTGTGTTTTGTCCTCACTCACACAGTTCCGACAATCACTTCCCGGAAGGTCACCCATCCTGAAATTGCTCCAGTGCATGCTTAATTGTGGAGTTCTCTCAGGACAGTTGAGCAAAAAGACAAGTGCACTTTGGTGACATAGGTGGCCGATCGAATCAATTCTTTTAATCTTCTCCGCATGCATCACCATATTCCTGAAATCAGGGTGTTACATATTATATTATAATATCAGCTAACTTATGTATTAAACCTGTTTATTTAATTTAATAATTTAATTTATTCCGTTAACTTATACAATAGCATATTTATTTATACTATAATATAATTGTTGCGTTTAAGATATGTTAGCATTTTATATACGTTACGTTGCTAATTAAATTGTTATTTGTTATGGAATCGAACCCAGAAGAATGTGACTATGGTTATTGCCGTTGACGATACCCATTCCCCTATATTGATCGATTAACCTCATCAAAACTTGATAACATGGGATTTTCGCCCATATTTGTTATTGTTTTCTTGTGTTTCAGGAAGTGTATGGTGTGATTTCAAGGCTAAAGAGGAGATATTCAAGTATTTATGGAGTCAAAAAGGTTTTAGGATTTTCTAAGCAAAATGGACCAAAATACGAGCAAAACCCGTTTCAGTACAGATTCGAAGCTCCAGAAGTTAGATGTCCGTTGGAGGGCTTCCCGTGAAGAAAATTTGGAGATTTTGGACTATATGGAAAGCTTGAAGAGTCAAGATTACAATGGAGGAAGAATCAACTCAATCCCAGCAGCCAAACAGAAGTTACAGCCGATTAAAGTCAGCCTGTCGGAGATCGTTCGCAAGGCGTGCAACCGGTGGAGGAACCCTTGTTGGCACCGGTCACAGCCCCTCGTGACCGGACTGGAGCCTCTTGGGGAGCACAGTCACAGCCCCTCGTGACCGGGCTAAGCCTCCTCGTCCATGTACTTATTAGAACTACGTAGTTTTACCGAGAGAACCCTAAACCGACTTGTTACTTCCCGAGGCCTATAAATACAAGTTGTAAACCCCAAAACCATTTTTCCAAATCATAAATAATCCCACAGAACCTGTGAATTTGTTGGCTACACAATGACAAAAAAGGAACATAATATTAAGATCTGAAGATCAAGTAAAACACTCAACAGATTTGCAAAATCGATTGCCCAAACCGAAACTTTATTTTTCGCTTTTGTTCTAAATGATAAAAAAAAAAACACTAAGAACTAACCAAAAACCAAAAAGAACCTTTATCTGTGCAAATAACCAAAAACCCAAACACAATTTCACCTTCAATGTATATGACTGATTAAAACGGAACGAGACTGCGAGTGGGAGATCAGGACAGAGATCGAAAACAAGACTGAGATTGATAGGGAACGAAACGGAGACCGATAGAGATTGAGATTGAAAGTAAGAGGAACGGGACTGTGATTGAGAGATCGAGACAGAGATGGAGGAACGAGTCTGAGTGAGAGATTGAAACAGAGATCATCGTGTGTGTTGCGGCAAAGAGAAAGTGAAAGAGATATTAGAGGTGTCGAATGGGAAAAAGAAACAAATTTGAAACCTAACTTTTGACCTCATAATTTCTTTTCTTTTTTTTTACTTTTGGAGCCACTGAAATTTTCGGTTTCCCGGTTATGTGTATGATAACGTTTTCAGTGTAATCTATATTATTATAGAACCAAAAGTTAAGCGCCACTATGAAATATTTTCGCGCCTATTATACTATAGCGTTTGTTTTTTCGAAAACGCTATAAATTTTTCTCAAAACTCAACTATAGCAAAAACATTAAATGCTATATTGTACTGCTATTAATACCCTCATTTCATGTAGTGTATACAATCAACTTTCTTATAATCTTTAAGGGTAAACGACCTGTGTCCCCCTAGGAAGTTTCATATAGTATCGCAACTACACAGAATTCGGACCTCGACCGCAGTCCACACAGATCAGAAGTTAAACTCCATTTTCCCCCCAAATCAAATGTTCGAGACCTTGGTCCCCAAAATTTTGAATTTCGTGGTTTATCTGTGGTTTACTGTACCGAACCGATGCCATATCTGTGGTTTACTGTACCGAACCGATGCCAAACCAAAACCCAGTAGAATAAACCGAATTGAAATCCTTAAACTTAATTAAACATAATCGAGATCGCTTCGACGGCGAGATCGACGGAGAAGACGTCGACGAAGAGAAGCTTAGATCCACAGTGACGGAGAAGAACAGAGACGGTGCGTGCGTCGAGGCGTGTGTTGATGTTGTTGAGGATTGCGCCGGACATGGGAACAGCGAACTGGAGCTCGTACATCGCCGAAGTATTGGGAGAGAGAACGGAGACGGCGTCGGACCTGCCGATCCCGATTGAAGACAGAGAAGACGCGACGCGGAGGCAACGGAGGTTTGTTTCACGCCACGTGTAAACGGTGTTAGTTCCGTAAAAGATGGAGGTACAGTCACCGTAAACGGTGGCGGCTCTCTCTAAGAAACCTATCGGGGTCAACGGTGGCGAGTTTGCGGCACATGGCTTCATATCCTCCATCTCTTCGAAGAATTCTTGAGGTGGTAAACTGTTTTTTTTGTTTGGTTTTTTTTAGTTTCATTTCCTTTTAAAGAAAAATAGTTATCCATAAAATAAAATAAAAAAAGAGTTTCGTGATTATCTAGGATACCTTGGTGATGACAATGGCGATAAGGTTTAAACAGATCTGAAGCCAATCGGCATGTTAGATGTCGATTCATTCCCATATATGAAAATAATTAACAAACTGATTTGACTTTGTAGCAAATATCCGTGTTTCAACGACGGAGATGATAGCGAGAAGGCGGAGAAGATCTCGAAACGAGTCTTAAGCGAGTCACCATCGTTGAGCTGCCGGAGAACTCGGCAAAGTTGAAAGACACCCAAATCTTAACGTAATAAAATCTTATAAATAAAACATATATTCGGAAAATTAATGAAATTTTGAAATTAATTACAAAATTCATTGCTCGATTATGTTTAATTAAGTTTAAGGTTTTCAATCCGGTTTATTCTACTGGGTTTTGGTTTGGCATCGGTTCGGTACAGTAAACCACAGATATAGCATCGGTTCGGTACAGTAAACCACAGATAAACCACGAAATTCAAAATTTTGGGGACCAAGGTCTCGAACTTTTGATTTGGGGGGAAACTGGAGTTTAACTTCTGATCTGTGTGGACTGCGGTCGAGGTCCGAATTTTGTGTAGTTGTGATACTATATGAAACTTCCTAGGGGGACACAGGTCGTTTACCCAATCTTTAAAGAGTAAATTGAGTCGTAAAGTTAATTACATTGTAATCCATTCAATTTAGTCCATTAGTTGGTCATTACAAACCAATAATTTTGTAAGTTTTTATGATGTTACTAGAAAAACATCATATAAACATTATTAGGATGTAAGGCCAAAACCTATTATCTCTTAATTATACTACAAAAAGTTTATTTTCCTATTCGAATATTTTTCAAAATTTTATATCCGACCTAACAAAATAAGGACTTATATATTGAATGCCACTTTGTCAATCTATCCCCTACATCGGATGCCATGTGAATTATTCACATTTTTCTTGATCATTCTAGAGATATTTTTAGACTCCAAAAGAAAAGATATTTTTGACATAATAATGGACTAAATAGAATGGATTATAATGTAGTTAACCTCATGACTTATTTTAATTTTTTAATTTTTGTTTTATGTGTATTGAAAAAAAAGATAGTAGGTGAAAAACATTCGAGGGAAATGTAGAGATTCGCCGACGGATAATTGAGCATTCTTTTTGAAAATGGACAGTGTGGTAACCATCAAGAAGATAACTAGTTAAGTCACAATACATACATGTTCCGCTTGTCAATTAACGTATAGGAGGTGTTAAATGAGGATAAACAAAATAAAGAAAATATATCTACAATACTGATCTATATATTTCAGATACAAAGAATGATGTTTCGTATACAATTATTTCCTAATAACACACTCACTTGTAATGTAAACATCACCAAACTGGATCAATAGTAATTTGTAGATTTGAGCCCTTTACATAAGAATCAAAACAGAAAAGAAAGTGATGAGAAGTATGACGAATGGCGAGGTTGCAAGGTTTGGACTAGCGTTTGGAAGCCATGGATAAGAGTCTGGAGGTGGCATAACGCAGTTATCACCGTTGAAGTAAATGCGCCTCGGAAACGCCCAGCCTTTCTCGAATGTGAACTCCAACGGGTTCTTTTGGAAGAGAAGCTCTGATTGTACATTGCCTACTGGACCAGCTTGGCTCAAAAAATCATTGTAGAACTTGATTCCCCATAGCATGGCCGTGTCATCTTCAATATATGATCCAAAACATGAAATTAGTTACCAAAAAAAGCATCCATGTCACAGTCTAACGACGCTTCAATATATGATCCAAAACATGAAATTAGTTCTCTTTCTCATGTTCCTAAACATTTCTTACGAACATGAGAAAGAAATGCGAATGAGAAACGAGCAAGAAGCAGCTAAGGACTTACTTATGTTAGCGTAAGGATTAAGCGGTTTGTAGTTGAAGCTGAAAAGCTGAGTGAGATTGTCGAAGTTGGGATGCTGAACGACTAAGTTCCACTGCGAGTAGTTCATATTGTAGTTAAAGTTTGTGATTGCGACCTTCACTCTCCAATACTCTTTGTAGTTAGTTTTAACATGCCAATGAACTCGGATGGGACACATATGTTGCGTACATTGCAAGAGCGGTTCGAGGTTGTTCTTCCCTGAAGCTGGTACTACCGAAGCTATTTTCGGGCTGTCACAAGATATGAATCAGAAAAGAGATACAAAAACAAAACCAAGATGGAGTTTATTAGAGAATAGGAGAGCTTACTCGACACATGTACCAGCTTGAGAACTATTTTGACATCCACAAGAACAAGTTGGGCATGGTATTATAGTTTCATTGTAGAAGGATGAGAGTGAGACACAACAAGTCGGAGTTTTCCGTGCTAGAAACTGTGAATACGTGCACGTAATGTTCCATGTCACTGCCAAAAGGAAAACAACAAGAGTGGTGGGATTACAAGCAAGAAAATACAAATTATAAGGAAACGATATAGATGCTAATACAAAAGCTAAACTTACGCAAGGCCTGAGTCTTTCTTCGTTTATCCGCAGAAATGAATTTACTAGGCTTAACGAGTTTTGCAGGCCCGCAAGTGTAACCAGGTCCTGGTGCCTTCAAAGTGATGTTCCTAGGTGCTCTAACCGTCGTATTAGTTGTTCCAGATTGACCAACACTAATCTGAAATGAAGAAATAGCGGTTGCGGGGTCTTGTGCCCACGCGCTAATTACACCGCCTCTACAACAGTTGGATATCTGTTGGTTATAAGGAGTTCCCGGTAACAAATCAACGATAGTCGGGGTCTTCTTGCAGCAATGAGGAATGTTACCCTTAAACTTAGAACAATCTCCTTGTTCTGTTGCTTGCCCACCAACCATACTCCATATCACTTCCTTCTTCAACCAAGTCCATCCTAATTGCCACCCCGGCGCCTCAATGTGACGGTATTGTTGGAAATTAAAGATTGTTACAACAGCCTGAAGCCAATAATTGGTTAATCGTAACCCATTAAAGAAATATTTGAAACAAGATTTATTATATAACATTGTGATTTTGTTAAGTAAAGTTTTAAAATTTCTTACCAAATAACCATCAGGAGTCCAGCTTATAATATCCCATTTTATAGTAATGTTTCCAGTTGGATCAAGTGCATCATAAGCCTCTGTGTTAGAAAGATAATCTCAATCATGTGAGCTCATAGCCAGAAAACAGAACAAACCCATAAAGAAACACAAAAATAAGATATTTTTCTTATCAATTGTTTAAGATAATAGAAAAGATTAAAACCTTTCTTTTTTTTTTTTTTTTTGGGCAAATGATTAAAACCTTTCTATTTCACAGTTTATATAAACATGAAAATTTAGAGAAACCCCAGAGAATCATCATCATCATCATTCACCATCATCAAATTCAGATAGAGTTACAAATGTCAATTTCAATGGATTTCTCAGAACAACCACTAATTATCACAGCATGAAAAAGAGACAAATGTGTAAAAGACAAACATTTTTTTTTTCAGACAGAACATTGAAGCAAACCTGTTGTGGTGAAACTGGTCCAAGAACAGAGAAACAGAAGCAAAATGGAGAATCTGGAGAAGAGAATGTTCATATCTCTGATCGCTGATCAACAGTTGTCTTTGATCTCTCCCGCCGGCGGAAACTTCTCGAAGATGTGAGAGAGATGAGAGAGATGAGAGAGAAGAGAGACAGAACTGGCTTAGTTAACTTTAAGACTTAGGAGCACTTAAAGCCAAAAGTTACTCGTTTTAATCAGTGTTTTATTAGTCTACGTTTTATACATTTGTAGATAATTAAAACTAAGAGAAGAAATGTATTTACTATTTTTAAATAGCTTGAAGAAGCAGACGTTACAGTAATCTTCTGAATAAAACAAAAATATACTATTAATCTAGCTGTATTGCAAATAAATATTTCAGAATTTATGTTTAGACTTTTTTAGTCTAAATTTGAAGGTAGAGCCGGTCAAGTTACGCCTAAAATACTTGATTATATGATAAATTAATAATAGGAAAATCTGCTGATTTAAAGACAACATTCCATCAGAACTTCAATTAATAAATAAATTAAAATAAAGAAAATATTATCATGTGTGAAGCTGTTGTTTTTGGCTGATACTAAAATTATAGCAAAAAAAAAAAAGACAATTAGAAATCAAACCGAACCAAATCTTAGAATTCTTCAAACAATATAGAAAATTATATTAAATTACCTAATGAATCTAATCCTAATCAAATCCAAAACTATATTAAAAAGCGAACCGTTTAACAGATCTAAAAATCAATATATTAAAAATATGTAGTATTAACTATTATTAGTTAATCTGAATTGAATCGAAACAAAAAATAATTATATTTCAAATAAATCTATTTTCTAAAATTTCAAAATCTAGAATTTGAATATCTCAAACCAGACTGAACCGAATAATCTAATATCTACTTCTATGGAAAACAGTAAAAATTATTTTATCAAATATTGTGAAGATTTTTTATTGATCAATATTATTTAAAATAATTGTTATTGAACAAAGGCTAAATTTCAAGGGACCAAATAAATCCAATAAAATAAAGCGAAAACGAAGACAAGAGTTGCTAGAAAATATTTTTAATTGACTTGCAAAAATGAATAATTCAATTTAGTGGCTTTCATCAACAGCTACTAAATCTATTTGCAAAGTACAGTTGTTTCGAGAAAAAGACGGCAACGTTTGTATATTTGCTGGGTCCATCAGAATCTAGAACCTTAATTTTCGTAAGCTTTCATTTGTCTGTCACGGATAAAAGCGTCACCGCCGTACCAAAATAAAATTGCCTCGTCGTCACAAGCCGTGTCACCTTTTGTCAATTTGTTTCTTTTCTCTTTTAAACGTAACAATTTCTCCAAATATTTCATATATGGGCTTTAAATTCATGAATTGGGCCAAAGCCGGGTCATATATATCTTTTTTTTGTTTGAATTTACTTCAAGTTTACTTAACGGGCTATATTTTGCTTTCAATCAGAATATTAAAAAAAATAAGTTTTTTGGTAATTAATTTACCTCTCAAATTTACTCTTGAAAAAATGGTCCTACTCTCTTAGATGATGAGAAAATAAGTTTCATTTAACCTAACTTATTGGAAACTTACTTTCTCATCAACCAAAATCATTTCAAATGTTTTTCTAGATTTAGCAGTGTACTTCCTCCATAAATATATGATCTTAACTTGGATGCGTCAAAACAATAGACGCAAAAAATGATCTCAAGTAAACAAAGTAGTAGTACTGTAGGTTCGAGTAATGGAAATCCGGTTGCATAACATGTTTTAAACTCTTTTTTTGGTAGGGGGTAGGGGATAAACTCCCCTACAATTTATTCATAACAAAAAAAGAAAATTAAACGCGAACATTCCGCGGGAGCGCAGTCCCACTTATGTCGTCTAACAAAGTTGGCCTTACAACACTCAGACAAACATCAAAAATATGAAGACCAAGTGGTAAGGAATACGCATAGTTCGCTAATCCATCCGCGAGGCGATTAGCTTCCCTATACACATGAGTGACCCGGACTATTCAGTCTCTTGCATGTTTTAAACTCTTAAATAGATTGAAAAGTTCTTATACACATATATATATAGCAACGTTCTATGCATTGAACTTGATCAACATTTTTTTTTCCAACCGACCAGCTTTCTTATTGTTTCTTTCATTTCTTTTACATTTTAATAAAATAAACTCCTTTACATTTATATAAAACACACATAATTAAAAATAAAAAAGGAACATAAGAAAAAAATACAATTGAAAAAAGAAAGAAACAATTAGGCGGCACGTTTGCATCTTTGGTAGTAAGTACAAGTTGATCCTTTTGTATTAACAGTTCCTATGCAATTACCGGCGATTCTTCCATCACAAGTCGGCTGCTTCTGCAAAGTTTTGTAGCTTAAATACCTTTTTTGTTGAAGAATCCGCCGCACCAACGCCTCAACTCCTTCATCATCCTCCTCAACCGCCGCGGTTATGCATTCTCCAACGGTGTCTCCAGGAGCACATCCTTCATATCTCAACTCACTAGTAACATTCCTCGCAGATGCGGTTGCCGAAGCCGCCGCGAGGAGAAGGAGAAGAGAGATGGTGAAGAAGAAGGAGATACAGAAAAATGATTTGGCCATGTCAAAACGTAAGACTTAGGAGATGTGTATTGAGAGAAAGAACATAACAATAACCCTCTCTTTATGCAACATTGTTTATTAGATTTATGAATTATTGTCTTGGTGGTCTAATAATTGCAGTTGGGAATTGACTTCAAATATTATATAGTAGCGGTGAGTATGTTTTGATACCCGTGTAAAAATTGGATCCTATTTTCTTAGTTATGAATTAGTAAAAACAAAACTATGAAGTTTTAAAACTTGCGAACATTCTATCTTTTTTAAAGATTTCGTTTTTTACTTTGATGAGTTACAAAGTCTAGATTTTCTTGTTAACAACTTGTAGTAGTAGCCTAGTGGTAAAAGACTTGAAAGTATGGTATCAATTCGCTTACCCTTATGTTTGATTTTCATTAGATCTCTTTTATTAACATTCGTTTGTTGAAATGGTGCTACACTTTGGCCTTTAGGTCAATTATCAAATCTGGTGAGTGGCTATACACACCCATGAGTTGTCGAGGTCTTTAGCTCAACCTAAATTCGGTTTCTTTAGTGGGACTAAACCAAGAGAAAGTGAAACTGAGTTTTTAAAATGGAAAGTATTGGTTTTGCCTTGAATAGTCTAGCTCAAAACAAGTCTTTGGACCTTTAGAAAGGTTCTTCTATAGCTGGAATTTTCGGGTTCGGTAGTGCAAATTGATGAGATACATAAAATAAAAGTTTCTTTAATTGATATGATAAGAGGCCATGAGTTTGGAGGTGTTTTCAAAAGCTTAGGTCTAAAGCGGTTTCCTATTGATTTTGGTGTTTTGGACTCCTTGATATTCATATAAAATTATTATAATCCGGTCTTCAAGGTTTGAAGCTTGGTCGTGCTCCATTTTTGGCTCTATCTTCAATTCATAGTATCTCATTTTTGCTCTAATGAGCTCTTCTAAGGTGATCTTCAAGTTTGACAGCTTCTATTTGTTATCATCAAGCTCCGTTTAACTTTTTAAAATAAGAAATGATTCCTTTTGTATTGTTTTCGTGAATAAAGAAAGATATACAAATTAACATATATAGTGGCCTCTACATATATTATCACTTTGGTTGTGATATATCTTAGGCCCATTGCTTTCACTTTGGATTGGAGTTGCAATTTGCATTGACTTTCAAAAATGTAAAGTGTGAAAGTAATGTTTGTTGAAATTTTTTCTTATTATCCTTTTGCATATGCAAGCCAAAATTTTATCTTAAACACCTTCACACACATACACAAGGAGTTATGTCGATAAAAGCAACTGAATAAAGAAAGCAAATCATCGGGTTACAATAAAACAAGTTTATGTTTAATGTCCCATAACAAGTATTTTGATTTTTCTATAAACATTTTATTTCTGGTGAAAACAGAACAAGTAGAAGAAAGACAGACAGACATTAATCATGAATAAACAACAAAAGAAACAGAAACAAAATCACAAAATGAATCAAAAAAAAAAAAAACTAAAAAGGAAGAGAGATCTCATGAAGCCACTTTAGAACACCAGTTAGTGAATGATGATGAAGGTACTTAGGGTTAAGTAGAGCTGATTCTGGCGATCTCGAGTAGAAGTTTATGCAAAGCTTGTGGCTTAGAAAAGAAAGGAGCATGGTCAGCGCCTTTTAACCGGTAAACTTTTTCAGGTGGACTACTATTAATCATGTTTTCTTGGACAGTCATTGGTATAGCATTGTCTTCTAGCGTCTCTATGTAGTACCGTCTAACTGATCCGTAGTTAGCATCTGAGAGAGAGAGTTTCTCAAGAACCGGCGCAAATGGGATTGACCTCATTGAAACAGAGGCCAATGCAATGTCCTTTGAAGGGCTTTGATTGAACAAAAGGTCTCTGAGAAGAGATTTGTCTAAGTCAATGGCGGTTGGAGGGTTTTCATTACCATTTGTGTAGATAAATATCTGAGCTTTTCTCATTAAATCGTTCTGACCGGCCTGCAAAGTTTGTCGTAAACGCAATTAATCTATGGCGCGACACAAAGCTTGAAACAGGAGAAGAGATAAGTGAGAAAGCAAACCTTTGGGGAGAACATATCGAGTGTACTTTGACCATTTGTTAGCATCGCTGCAGCAAGAAAAATCGCTTTCGAAATCTTTGAAGGAAACATTTCCATAGCATAAGATATACATGCTCCACCAAAATCATGACCGACCAAGATCACCTGCAATTTACACACAACGAAAGAGTTCCAGTTTTCGGAAAGTAGAGGGAAATGATTAGAAGTCAAAAGGCAAACAAAAGCAGAACCTTCTCTCCTATGGGAAGCTTTTCAAGAATATCAGTAAGTGGCTTCACATATTGTGACAAACTGGCAATGCCATTTATATTAATCGAGTTAATACCGCAACCAGCTAAGTCTATAGCGGTAACTTTAAAACCATCTTCCTCAAGAAGTGCAATGGTTTTATACCAACACCAAGCACCAAAACCACCTCCATGGATGAGAACAAAATGGTTTGTTTCCAAGTCATCTAGCTTTACACCCTATTCCAAGACAAATAAAAAGAATTTAACTTCCACATAAAGAATGAATCATTTCCTATTTGCAGGACGGTGAGGTTTGTTTGGCCGTCAGGGAAAACACATATTGAACCATCTATACAAGATTAAGGTGAACAAATTGTCAAAAACACTATACATGGACAGCTCTACACGAAAGATAGGCCTGCAAATCGAACACACATTAGAGCGTTCGACAGTAATTTAGACTATCAGCCCCACATTAGGACATTCTAGCCCACAAAATGATCGATTCGATTCGCCACACAAAAAAAAAACAACACATGAAGACAATGTTTCAAGCTTGAATCTTGATTAAGATAATACTTTCAACCTCGACATCGAAATCGTCTTCCTCTATGTAACAATATAATCTCATTGTCACCACATTCACACCATTGACAATAATCAATGAAACAAAAATAGAGTCAGCAAGTCTTAAGACTAAACACCAACCCCTACTACTATACTCAAAATACTCACATTGCTTTGTAACCACTAAATCAGTTTTGCCAACAAAAAGTAAAGAAACTATACTATAAGAAATCAAGATTCTTCATCTAATGCCAAGAGATAAAACTAATTCATACTTATCATTATTGAAGTAAAAACAAAGCAAGAATCAAGAAGAAGCAACGAACCTGATTAAGAAACTGATGAGGTTGTAACAGAGGATCAGTAGAAGACCTTGACCTCGAACTTGAACTTCGAGGCAATTGATTCTTCTTCGAACAAGAACCTTGATAACGTTGCGAAGCCGACCGATCAAACGGCAACGATCCACCGCCGTTTTGTTGTCGGAACAAAACAGCAGCAGCAGCAAGAGCATGTTCTTGAATCACAGCATCTTCAAACTTGTTGTCTCTTCTAGAAGAAGATGATCTAACCCGGTTGTTCCAACGGTTACTATTAAGACCCGACCCGGAAGAAGAAGCTCCAATGGAAGATTGTCTTTTTGTGATAGGTTTTCTTTTTTTCACGGGTTTTGGCGGAGTAAACAAAGAACAGAGATTTCCCATTGCTTGAACATGAAGAAGAGTGTGGAAAAGATTTGAGGTTTAGAGAGAGAGAATGAGAAAAGGTTTGAGCTTTATGGAGTTTTAGAGAGAGAGAGTGACGTGGGATTCAGGTGAAAGTGGTGGAGAGAAAGTGGAATGAAGAAGCTGGCAACTTTTTAATGACTTTTCTCGGAGAGTCTATTAACCGTGAGGCTAGAGAGGGACCATTGTTAAAAAGGAAAGTGGCAAGTTTTGCAAGTTTTCTTTTCACTTTCATCGTTTTTCATTAATCCAATTAGTGATACAAATTGTTGTTGTCAACATAAGTTTAATATTTTTTTCGTTTTGTCTGAGTTGAAGATTTAAATCAATTTTTTTTAATAAGTTGGGGATATTTATTTATTAAACCAATCTTACAAACCGAGTGAACCGGATAACCTAGTAAACCGGTACCCACAACCTTTCAGCGAGAATATGCAGACAGAAGCCGGCACAATTTCCGGCGAATGAACAACCAGAAACATCTCCGGATTATCAAAACAAACAAACTATTAAACCGAAAAAGATAAAGGATTTTAATTTAATCTTCAAATTCTTTTCTCTTCTCATCACTAGATCTTTTCCGAGAACAAAAGCATGAAAGAAGTCGCCGGAAAACAATCAAGCACGAGGTGAAGCTTCTTGTCATCACTTGATATAAAATTAGACTTCGGAAATTGATACTTTGACTTCCTAGAATAGCAAGACGGACCTCAAATGAGGCGATTGAAAACGTCAAAAACGCTGGGCCGTTAAAGTCGAACAGAATCGACAAAGATACGGTTGGAAAGAGCCAAGCAACCCAGAATTCTCCCAGATCTGGATTTTGATTCATGTGGATGAGACTAAAACAGTCGCCTAACCGAAACACCAAAACACTTACATGATTGAGGATGGTGGTGGGATGGATCGAGAATAGGCCATGGAAATTTCCAGTTAGAAAAAAGAAAAAGAAATTTGAGATCAAAGTGTTTCCCAAATCAATTCGGTCAAAGAACAACAACCGCAATGGAATAGCCGTGAACAAAGCCGGATACACCGGACGGCGAGATAGGACGGCGAGATGGGACGGCAAAACCGGACCACGTCCGGATCCATAAGCCGACAAGGCATGCCGGACGGACAAAAACACCGATCAAAACCTCTCTCTCTAAAAGGTTTAGAGAGATAAGAGAGAGAGAGAGTCGGTCTCAGCCTTTTTTTTCTTCTCTACCATTTGTTTTATAGATTTAATATTATCATATTTCAAAATAGGAGCCAAATAAAATTTAAGTTTAAAATTTTATATCTATACTAGTATTTTTCCAGTCATTTTGGTGACGAGTGGGTAAAAATATTTCCGGGTTATTTGGATACCCGACCCGTTTACAAATTTTAGTCATAAAAAATTTGTTTGATCGGGTTAAATTTAACCCAACTCATACACTGGATATTCTATATTTAATAATTTAGATATTTAGAAGATTTGATTAAGATTTAGAATTATGATTCTTCTATCATATTTGTTTGATTTGTTTTTAACTGTTTTGAATCATCATATAATACATAAAGTAAAAAAAAAATCAATTTTTTTTCTGCATATACTGTGATTCGAAATTTTAAAAACGGACATATATTATCCAATTGATGAAAATGTGTGTTCAACGTTCTACATCGATTAAAATATTTAGACAATGATTCAAAATCATATCATGATAAGATCAACATTAATAAAATAAATTAGTTTTTTGGCGGGACGGGTTTGGCGGAACGGGTTTTTGAATCAACAATAATAAAAATATTAAAATATCATTAATCCGCCGCTTCAATACGGATTAAATTCTTAATTATTTTTTTAAGGGAGACTCACAAAAATGCCCCTTTTTCAATACCCCTTTTCAAAAATGCCCCCTTTGGCTGTCCATTTTTAAAAATACCCCTTTTTATGTACAAAATGACTAAATTACCCTTCTTTTAATAAAAGATATCACAAATATATAAGAAAATATAACAAAATTAGGTCCACAAAATACAAAATATTTTTTGGCGGAAAAAGTGATCCCGCAATTTTTCCCGCCAAAACACTTGTAAAAACTTGTAAAAACCTTTAAAATACCTTGTAAAATTTTCCCGTAAAATTTTTTCCCGCCAAAAAATATTTTTTGCGGGAAAAGTGATTCCGCAATTTTTTTGGCGTTAAATTTTTGGCGGGAAATTTTTTGGCGGGAAAAATTTACAAGGTATTTTAAAGGTTTTTTACAAGGTATTTATAAGGTTTTATAATGTATTTTAAAAGGTTTTACAACGTATTTATAAGGTATTTATAAGATATTATAAGATTTTACAAGCTATTTTATAAGGTTTTACAAGTTATAAGGTTTTACAAGTTTTTTATAAGGTTTTACAAGTTATAAATACCTTATAAAACCTTATAAATACCTTGTAAAACCTTTTAAAATACATTGTAAAACCTTACAAAACACTTGTAAATACTCTGTAAAACCTTTAAAATACCTTGTAAATTTTTCCCGCCAAAAAAATTGCGGAATCACTTTTCCCGCAAAAAAAAATTTTTGGCGGGAAAAATTTTTACGGGAAAATTTTACAAGGTATTTTAAAGGTTTTTACAAGTGTTTTGGCGGGAAAATTGCGGGATCACTTTACCCGCCAAAAAAATATTTTGTATTTTGTGGACCTAATTTTGTTTCAAATAAGGGTAAAATGGTCATTAAAAATTAAAAGACGGCAAACTTAAAAATGGACTCTCAAAGAGGGCATTTTTGAAAAGGGGTATTGAAAAAGGGGCATTTTTAACAATTTCTCTTTTTTTAATACCACCAATATTAGACATATTAAATCAGTCTCATTTAGAAAAGATTGTATAAAACCAAAAATTGTCCCGTGGTATAATGTTACTTAATAACAATTGTAAACTATAAAATATAAATATCTTAAAAAGTTATAAAATTTGCAAACTTTTATATATAATAAATAATCGTTAAATTTTAAAAATTACTACTTTTAGAAAATAAATCACGGGGCGGGTTAAGAAGTTACATGACGGGTTATATTTCGGAAAGAAGTTATATGGTGGACGAGTATGAATCAATATTTATAAAATTTTAAAATATCATTAACATGCCACTTTAATACAGATTAAATCTTCAGTTTATTAAAATATAAATGTCTTAGAGAATGATATGATTTGTAAACTTTTATATATAATAAATAATCATTAAATTTTAAAATAAAAATAAATCACGGGACAGTTTAAGAAATTACGGAACGAGTTATATTTTGGAACGGATTTATATGGCGGACAAATTTGAATCAATATTTATAAATATCATTAACATGCCGCTTTAATATGAGTTAAATCCTCAGTTTATTAACAATTGTCTCGTGGACTTGTGGTATATCGTTACTTAATAACAATTGTTAACTATAATATAAATAAATATTTTATAAGGAGATGCAATTTACAAAATATTCTTATACTAACTTTAAAAATAAATCATCTCGCGGTGTACCGCGGGTTAAAATCTAGTTCTATTTTACAATTTTATAATAAAATTTACGCCTAGTTAAAAATTAAATAATTTGGTGTTATTTACGTTCTCAAATTAAACAGTGTCCGCTTTTGGTTTCAAATTTCTATTTATCTACTTTTTTCTTTAAAATTTAATACTGCCAGCAGATACAACATGCGTCAAGTAGTAACCAGATGGAGTATTCGTAAGTTTTCTTGGTCTCTTGGTTGCCTTTACATTTTAACACCGAATAAATTCTATCAATTTACAAGTAAGTGGAATTTTAAGTTATCAAATTTCTAATGTAAAGATGTTAATAAAGAGACAGTACATTAAAAATCACTGATCTCAAGTGAAAAAACTAGTTAATCGTTGTTTTACTTTTCGGTAAAAACCGATTGAAAACTACAAATTTCTACATACAGTACATTAAGTCTCAAACTTCATCTACTTACTATTTTTGAACTCTTATATACGTGTTTTAAAATTTAACCAAAAATAATGGAAAACATATAACTATCTCTACAAATGTTTTTAATTGCGAGTGTAACTTTCTCGTGGCTATCCACTTACGAGAAAGCACTCTTGCACATTGAGCTTCATTCATCAAGGAAACATTAAAAAGACTAATAAACCGCACTTTTATTCAAAATATGATCATCACAAGATCAAAATTTTGTTTGGACCACCACTATATAATATGTCAAAGTAGTTTTGAGTTAGGAGAATCAGATCCCGAGGCATATAAGTAATAATATATCTAGATATGTAGATGCTAAGCTATCATCATCACATAGCATGTGAATTCTCTCGCAATGCAATATGTATGCAATGATAGGATAAGTATAAAGTGTTTAAAAAGTTAGTGGAAAATATTGACCAGTGTTACTTTTGTCTATCCCCGGAAAAATTAGCTAATTAACTCTTTACGATTCAAGTCCTTGTCTTAAGACCTATACAATTCAAAGTCATTTGACGCTTGTCTTAAATTCTCTCTAAACCGTTTATTTTTGTTGTTTTTCCAAAGTTGATAGTACCATTTTGCAACTCTTTATTAGGATTTAAGTCCTTGTCTTAAGACTTGTTACAATTCAAAGTCGTTTGACTCTTGTTTTAAATTTTTTTTAAGCCGTTTGGTTTTGTTGTTTTTCCAAAGCTAACTGTACAATTTCGCAACTCTTTATTGGATTCAAGTTCTTGTCTTAAGACTTGTTACAATCTAAAGTCATTTTCCTTTTGCCTTAAATTCTCTCTAAGCCATTTTGTCTTGTTGTTTTTCCAAAGCCGACAGTACAATTGGCAACTTTTTTTAGGATTCAAGTCCTTGTCTTCATACTTGTTAAAATCCAAAGTCATTTGACTCTTGTCTTAAATTCTTTCTAAGCCGTTTCAATTTAAAGTAAAAATAAACAATTTAAACAAAACTATTATTTTTAAAAAAATAGTACAATTATATCCTTTAAAAAATAATAACAGCTTAAATCTTATGAAGAAAACTTTTTCTTATGGATTTTTTTTTCAAAAATTATTCATCAAACTTACTATTTTACTTAGATTTACAATAATTTATATGTATATATAACTAAAAAACATTTAAGTGGGGCCTCTTAAAAGTGGGGGCCCCATTAGAATGTTTCATGACCATGTGCTCAGGTCCGGCTCTGGCCGTTTGGTTATGTTGTTTTTCAAAAGCCGACGGTACAATTCGCAACTCTTTACAGAATTCAAGTCCTTGTCTTAAGACTTGTTACAATCCAAAGTCATTTAATTCTTTCTAAGCCGTTTGGTCTTGTTGTTTTTCCAAAGCCGACAGTACAATTCACAACTCTTTATAGGATTTAAGTCATTGTCTTCAGACTTATTACAATCCAAAGTCATTTGACTCTTGTCTTAAAAAATTTCTAAACCGTTTGATCTTGTTGTTTTTCCAAAGCCGACGATACCATTTCGTAAGTTTTTATAGCATTCAAGTCCTTGTCTTAAGACTTGTAATGTAAATCAAATTTGACCTCAAGTAACTCTCTCAAATAAAAACACATTTATTTGGGAAGTCTTTAAGTTGGGCATTTGCCCAATTGGTTTATCTCGTAGGCAGAAATGCAGGCGGCCTGACTACCCCTTTGCATTAGTTGGAAGGCATTCCAAACTCGGATCAGGCAATGTGGTAGCCCAATTCAGGATCTCATGGATCTCATGAATTTTATGGCCCGTTCGATCCGAGTCCGCTCGGGGCTCATGGTGTCGTTGAATCGTTGAACCACGGGAGTAGACCACTCTGTAGCACATCGGTGCGTTCCTACCGGAGCTGACCGGATCAACCGATAGGGTTTATCAAAAAAAAAATTTGGTCCAGAAAAAATCGGATCTTTCGAGCCGTTTGGCTAAAGAGTTTTTTTTTGCTTAGGCTAGCCTGATTCGGACTAGCCCGAAAAGCTCTTAAAACAATATTTTGACCTTTTTGTTATTATTTTCGTTTAATTGAAAGATTTATTTTTATAAAAAATTTGATAGAGTTGAAAGCCTTAAACTTAGTTTTTAATTATATTTTACTATAAATCTAAAAAGCAAATATTGGCTCTAATACCTAGTTTGAAGTATTTTGATTTTTTATTTTATTTTGTATGATTTTAAACAATTTATTTAGATTTTTATTTCATTATAAACTTATTTCTTAAACTAAATTAGCGTAAGTGGTTATTTAAATTTTGATTGACTCGTTTCATAAACATATATTTTTTTAAAGAAATATTATAAATAAGTTTTTTTTTTTTTGTCGGAAAAAAAATCCAGAAAAACCATATAGTTCTGTTAAAACCGGGTCGGACTTTAAAATATAGACTCATAATTTTTACAGACCAGCCAGACCAAACTCAAATATGTACGGTTTTTGCGGGTTTTGGGTTGGGCCGGACCAAACTAGTCCAATTGACATGCCTATCATCTTAAATTCCAATTATTTTCGAATAAACAACTCAAATATTCCTACAGAAAAACAAATAAAAAAAACAATTCAATTATTAATTATTTGACACACAATGTATGGGCTATTGGGTTTACAAATTTTGGGGCCTGATCAAACCGTGTCTAACTTTCATTTGACATTCTAATTCATACATAACCAAGCCGTGTAAAACCAGCTCCGAAGACCCGACCCGACCCGAAATTGACAACACGAGATCTAAAGACCCCACAAAGTCACGTCTAAGCCACTTAACTTCTTTTTTGTCTCTCTGCAAAAAAATCCTTGGGAACAGCAAACGACATCAAAAGCCTGTCGTTTCATATGCTCTCGGATCCTTAAATTCTCTCCCACTCCAAATTCTCTGGGAAAAGGTCAACTTTTGAATTCTCTCTGTCTCCGACTTTTGTTCTTCCTCTCCAAATTCATCGGTAAGTTTTTTTTACTCTAATTGTTCCTTTTTGATCGGATTTAATTTACCAAATCCAGATTGATCAATTGTGTAATGATACGAAATTGTTATTGCAAAGTCTTAGATTATTAATCATTAAACGATTAATTGTGGTTTAACATTGCATTATCTTCAATTAATCAAGTTGTTTAATGTTAAATCAAAAGGTTTATTTATTTTTATGATTTCTGAATAAATTTACTCTGTTCTTGATTTTCTTCTCTTTGAATTTGTTACACAGTTTTAGGTTGAAGTAAATTACTGATGCAAATTCTGAGGTTTTGGGGTTTAACATGAGAGCAATTGAACATTCTGTTGAAGAGGAACCAGTGTTTAAGAAAGCTAGAGTGATTGATAAGGTAGAGAATTGTTACGAGGTTCCAATGTTGTCGCTAAACGAAACAGCGGTTGATGGTAACGAAGAAGTTCCTTTGTTAGATGTGGAAGTGAAGAAAGATACATGTGTTGCATCAGGCAAGTATGGCGAAGTGAATGTTGAAGTTGAATCGAATGAGAGTAAGATAGAGGAAGTTTCCGTATTGAGTTTGGCAGATCGAAAAGATGTTGTTTCGGGTGATGAAAACATAGAAAAGCTTCCAGTTTTAGTAGAGCTGGAAAAGAATAATGAAGCTTCTGTGGTAGAGAACAAAGATTCTTGTGTTGCTTTGAGTGAAATCAAAGGCGAGAGCGGGTCAAATTCATCGGTATTAAGGAAAAAACTTCTTGTTCTTGATCTTAATGGGTTGCTTGCTGATATAGTTACTCCTCTAAAAGATGTTCCAGGGGACATTAATATTGGAAGAAGAGCAAGTGAGTTTCATTATCTTTTTGTTCATTGTTACTTGTGAGTCCACATTAATACTGAGTTGATAGTAACTTATTAGTCTACATTTTTTTGGTTATGACAGTTTTTAAGAGACCTTATTGTGATGAGTTTCTGAAGTTCTGCTTTGACAAGTTTGAAGTTGGTATCTGGTCATCTAGAAAGCAGTAAGACGTTACTCATATTTATAAGATCATATGATTGTTACTTCCATATCCGTGTGTATTTAATCGATATGACTTTTATTTGCTTGCAGGAATAATGTTGTAAGAATCACTGAATTCTTGCTTGGTGATTTGAAGAATAAACTGTTGTTTTGCTGGGTAAGGTGGTTCTTGCCATGCACTCCCCTGTTTTTGAAACGAGTTGTCGAATATTCATCGATTTTTTGGGGATTTTCTTTTGCAGGACATGTCTTATTGTGCTACAACGACTGTTGGTTCCCTTGAAAATAGGTATAAATATGTGGTGTTCAAGGATCTAAACCGGCTTTGGGAGAAACACGACCCAAGACTTCCGTGGAAAATGGGTGATTACAACGAAACCAACACCGTTTTGCTGGATGATTCTCCTTACAAGGCTTTGCTTAACCCGGTAAGCTATTTTGCAACGTCCTCACATCTTCTTCAAGTCATTTATACATCGATTCTTTTGCCTCATCGATGTTTTGCAAACCATCTGAATGTCACAGCCATATACAGCAATATTCCCTCATTCATACAATCATCAGAACAAGACAGACACATCCTTAGGTAAACATCTGATTCAGTTACAAGTTTGGTTTCTAGTTTGCGGGTTTGGTAAACAGCGAGAATCACCATTTTTGTTCTCTGTTTTGAAAATCTTCTCCCTATGCTGTGCTTCAATGTATATCAGGTAATGGTGGTGATCTAAGACTTCATCTTGAGAAGTTGGTAGAAGCTGAAAACGTTCAAGATTTCATCAAGAAAAACCCTTTCGGGCAAGAAGCTATTACGGAAGTAAGTGAATCGTGGGAGTTTTACAGAGAGATCATTCGTATGCTACGCATATCCTCTCAAACATACAGATTAAGAAACTTCATACGGTAGAAAACAGAGGATTGTTGCAAGATTTTTTGTAGAGTTTGGTGAAAAGGAAGATAGAAAGATTAACTGCAACAACGTGATGTTCTGATGTTGTTGTTACAGATTTGTTGGTGTTTAATTTTTCTTGTGTGATGTTTGCCTACTTAGATCTTGTTATGGTATTCTTTTCTGGTTTGTAATTTTAAAGATTTCATATATCATCCAGGATTTTGGTGTTATCATTTTCTATTCAAACGTTAGATTTTTTTCGATTGTAACTTCAGACCTCTAAAAAAATTTATATTTAGAATTTTTAAAAATATTAAGAAGACATATACCGAACAAATATTATAATTATAATAAATAGCTTACTTTTTATTAACTAAAATAAGTGATACATTTGATCTTCATTGTACATGATTGTAAGTTTGTAACTAGTTTAAAAAGTAATCTGAATAAGTTTTGGTAGTACGGTTTGTGGCAGTCACATGATAACCATAAACAGAAGGATCAATTCTGGTTTAGTTTAGGCTTGATAAACTACAATCAATACGTTTGATCCAAAAATAAAACTATTAAAAAAATACGTTCAAAGAAATAACTATAATTGTTGTTGATGATTGTTAAAAATGATCAGCTTAACAATTTTGTTTGTGTTTGGTGTTAGTTATTAAGGTTGCAAAAGCAATCAACATTGTGGGCGGAGATAACTGCACCCTTTTTGTTGCCACCTGCCTTGACCCGTATATCAATTTGGATACGCTGGTTGGGTTAGGATAAAACCCGATCGGACGGGTATGTCAGGTATGGGAGTCTAAGACCCAATAGGGTAAATAGAAAACATCGGTTTGGGCTTGGTTCGGTTTCTGTCGGGTTCGGATCGGTTTGGGTATAGAATTTCAGAACCACTAAATACCTACTAAATAAATTTTTGAGTAAATTCTCGGATTTTTGGGTAAACACCCGGATTTTCAGATAAAAATTGAAATTTCGGTAAAATTTTGGGTATTTGAGTAAAAAGTTTGGGTATTTTCGGATTCAGGTTCGTGTCAGGTTCGGGTTTGCATTTTCAGGTAGAAGGAGTTTAGGAGACCATCATTAATGGTAGTCTCTTAGAAAAATCTTAAGAAAAATCTTAGATTAAAATAGATAAAAATAAAGCAAAAATCTTAAGATTGTTAAAAAATGTCTCTTAGCTAAGAGTCATTTGGTGAGGTAAGAGGCGCTGACGTGGCGATTTTTTTTTTTTTTTACAAATTTAATACTAAACTAATGCTAAGAGCCAAAACTAAGAGCCTACCAATAATGTTACTCTAGAGCAACATCAATGGTTGAATCCTTAAAAGGATTCTTAAACATTTTTTAATCATAAATTATGACAATTTTAAAGTTAAGAGTTTGCGATGAATCCTTAAAAATTTCTTTGTCCAATGGTAGAGTCCTTAAGTAGGTTTCTTAAAAAAAAAACATTAAAATGAAAATTATTAACATTTTTATTTGATAAAACTTAATAAATATTACAATTTCCTAAAAAATTTAAACATACAAGACATAAAATCATATAAAAATACAAATAAAAAACCAAATTTTTGTCATATACGCTTAACAAAATCAGCTTTCAATTGTTGATGCATAGTCCGATCACGAACTCGAGTTCGAATGTCCATCATATTACTGAGATTTAAAGGCATATTTTTTTTTGTCTCTTATTAATATTTTTGACCCAATCAGAAAGCAACACATATGAGACTCTTAACAATCCTTATATTAGAGCCAACTCTTAACAATCCTTAACTTTATTTGTTGTTTTCATTTATTTTAATTACTTTTAACTTTGATTTTTTTAAGAAACCCATGAGAAACACCATTAGAGTTAGAATAAGATAAGTCTAAATTTTCAGGTTAGAATTCGGATCGAATTTTTCGGGTCGGTTCCGGTTCGAGTACTCAGGTTCCGGTTTTTATGCCCAAGCCTACCATTGTCGTTAAATTCCATTGCAATTTGATAATTTCTAGGTTGCTATGCCTTTGCCATTGCTATAAGATAACTTGAGTTTGATTTAGAAAACGATGGTCAGTAATATAGAGAAAAAGTAAACCCCATTGACGGTAGTCAAAATGACTCTTATTTTACTCAATTTTTCAAGACATGAAAAAGATGAGACACTTAATTGCACCTCCATTGCATATATTTTGGGGTGTCTTTAAATTTTTAAAAGAATAAAAAAAATAAAAAACAAAAATGAAAGTGTCTTAAAATGGGAAGGAGTGTCTCCCAGAGACATTTAAGATACAAAAATTGAGGATGTCTTTAAATTTTAATATTAGATTATGTTAAAGACATCCATCAAAGGTTTATGAATGGAGATGGTCTTGGTAATAGACAGTTCACTAAAGTCCAATGTCCCAACTTTTAGTTGTCCTCCTCCCTTGGGGGGGTTTCGATTTACATATGTAACACTTGTAAATATGAGCACACCCTTAAGCTTCTAAAATCATAAATTTACATAAAATTTCTTCTGTAAAAAAACTTCCTCGCAAACTCTTCTATTATTTTGGTCAACATTTGTTTTCTTATTGGACAAGCAATCTGATTATATTTGCAGCCTTGTTTTTTCTTTCGCATCAAAGTGAATTTTATTATTTTAAATGGAAACTTCAAACAAAAAACAAAAACTTTTAAAGATTATCCAAATGAAGGAATTCAAATCCCACGTAACATAAAAAGTTGGAAAGCTAAACCTTCCACTATCTCCACGGTAAGACTTGGGTGATTGACGATGAAAAGCTTGAAATCAGCAGAGCGAGAAATTGTACTTATATTGTCTTTGATATAACCCATGGTGGCATCATTGAGGGCTTTGTCAAAAGGGATTTGAGCAAGCTTAAGGACGTTAAGAGCATTAGAAGCCTTAAGAGATTTGATAAGTTGGATTCTGCATAGGTCACGTAGATGCGGAATCTCATATTTATCGGCTGCAACAGAGCCGTAGCAACGATTATGAGGGCCGCCCGCGAAAAAAAAAAGAAGGGCCGCTCTAGAAAAGTGTATACTTATAAAAAAAACAAAAAACAAAAAAAAAACCTTCTCTCACGTTTCAGGTGATTCGAACTCAAAACGTAAGATATGTGGTGTATGACATAATACCACTAGGCTACCAAAACACATTGGTATTTGAGGGCCGAAAATATTAATAACTTCTCGGAGGGCCGCAGCTCCCGCTTCTCTTGCTTCTATCCAGCTACGGCTCTGGCTGCAAGATAGAGTGACCTAACGTGTTGCACCGCTTTCGTAGAGAGCATAGAGCCGGAACTATAGATGAACTCAACAAAAGCCTCTAACTCTTTGTGTTTCAGCTCCGAGAGAGTGATTGTCGGTAGCGTAGTAGTAGCCTTGATCTCGTCTGATTCCAGTATCTTCTTAAACACCTCAGATCTTGCAGACTATAAACATTCCACATATATTAATATGTCGATGAAAGAACATTAACAATGAAAAATCAATTCAATAAGAACATTTCGATAAATGTTTTTAAGGAATTATATAATGATGAGAAAAGAAGAAGGAAAGAGCAAGAGACCAGAACAAGTTTATGGGCAGATATAGATACACCCAATTTGTCGCTGTCCCTTGCCTTTAGCCGTACATCGACTTGTTGCTGTTCTTTCAAAGCCCTAGCAAGTCCACCCATGAAAAGCTCTTTGTTGGTTTGTGTTCCCATGTTTTTAAGTTTATCTTGGTTTCGATTTGTTAACGATTGGGCTTATATAGAGTAGAGACTAGAGAGCCTAGACGGTCAAAATTACTCTTTTGCTTTCTTTTCCCAAGACTTTTGAACGTGGAAGAGACATTAATGCACGAACCTGTAGAGGTTACTAATCGTATAACCCGTAGAGTTATACGATTCTAGTAAATCGAACTTCAACCAAAATTATTTCAGGTCGGTTCGAAGTTGAACCGTTTTGGTTCAATTGGTATGTTATGGTTTAGTTTGGTTAGGTTCAATTAATTTTTTATCAGGGATATGGATAATTAGCCAGTTCTTTTAAACGATTTTTTTTCTTGTCGTTTCGGAATTAGTGTTAAAAAAAAAATTGTAAACCCTAAACCTAGATCACGATCATCATCGTTCTCTGTCTCTCACTCTTCGACGTCCTCCACCGGAACGGTTCGTCTCTCCCTATATCAATATAGCTTTCATATTGTTCCCTCTCTGGTTATTATAATTGCCCACGTTCCTTACTATTCAAGCGATTGTCTACTAAGATATAGAAGTATTCAATTTTCTACTAGGATATACAAGTATACAATTTCCTAGAACTATCGCTTTGGGTTGGTTAATCTAGCAGTTGAATCACAGGAGCTCACTTCATGTTTCAGGCAATGAATGCCAAAAGCTTTGTTAGAACCTGCTCGAGAGATGCAATAAGTTGGCTTCCAGATGAAGTTTTGGGAAAAATATTGTCCTCACTTTCGACAAAACAGGCTGCTTCAACATCTGTCCTCTCAAAAAAGTGGAGATATGTGTTTACCTTGGTGGATAATCTCGATTTTGATGATTCTTTCTCGATTAATAATAGCTTCAAGAATTTTGTGGATCGAACTCTGGCATTGCAACGTGACTTTCCGATCAAGAAATTCTCTCTAAAATGTCACGTTCGCAAGGACAATGAATGGCAAAAGGCTTATGTGGGCAGTTGGATATCTCATGTCGTAAAACGTGGTCTTTTGGAAATGGAACTAAGGATAAAAGATCGAGATGCACACTGTCTGCCTCATCAGCTCTTTGCAAGCAAAACACTTGTTAAGTTGTCACTAGGACTCTTTCTTGGAAAGCTTCCTTCATATGTGTCCCTTCCATATCTTAAGTTTCTCTACATCGATGCGATTGTCGTTAAACATGAAGATTTGCTTTGCAAGCTTCTTGCTGGTTGCCCAGTGCTCGAAGAGTTATCACTCCTTCTCAAATGCATATCAATAATGCCTAACACCATATCTAGCCCGTCACTTAAGAGACTATCAGTTCATTATACCTGTCGTATTTTTAATAGCAGTCTATCATTTGACCTGCCAAATCTTGTATACCTAAACTATTCTGGTTTCTCCTTGTGTGACTATCCACAAGTTAATCTGGAATCCCTCATTGAAGCTAAGCTGGATTTTCATCCGCCAGGCGTTGCGAAGGAAGATGTAATGAATCTCGTTATGGGGATAAGAAATGTTGAGATCCTTCATTTGTCTCCGGCTTCGGTCGATGTAAGTTCTCAGCTTCTCGCCAATTTTCCTTGTTTCGTTTTGATAAATATTGG